GAAAAACAGAACATGGGTTCTTTCATTGAGAATACATTTGCCAAGGTAAAAAAATGCAACTTCCAAAATTGTTCTAAATCAATGTGGCTACTAAGAAAGTTCTTAAGCCACGGTCTCCTTTTTAAGCTTCGCAAGCTCCTGTCTCACGACACCGGCCCTCTGCAATATCAACACCCGTGAATCAGATTGATACAACCCAAAAGGGTAAATTACTTACGCAATTAAAATTAGGCCACGTGATATTCGGATTGTTTAAACAACATGCAGGTTGTTTCAGGAGTATACTTGGCACGAGACTAAGTAAGAAACACATTCTGCCACAAGCCTGGCATATGCATTTTGCTTTTTCAATTAATGAAAAACCATTCTTTTAACCTTTTCATGTTAAACCATATTTCTCATAAAGTCCACTGAGTTATTGGTATTAGTGGGCTAAATGCAGTTAGATGAAGTTAACTTGAATACATATGTAATCGCACCTTGATCTTTGCCAACATAAGCTTAAACCTGTCAAAGTCGTTAAGTGAGGCCCTCCTCTTCTGCACTATCAACTTCCTTCCCCATGAACTGGACTCCCACTTGTTCTTCACATCTGGAGGACATAAAGATACTGAGAATAGTCAACCTTGCAAACTTTTCCAACTTATAGGATAGGCAAAGAACTGCTAAAGTAATATCTACTCCATATCGTCTAGAAGAGAAAATATAGCCACTCACCGGCAGCATCCATAGCAGCAACCAGGGTCTTCTTCTTTGGAATCCTTTTGATGTCGATTTTGATGTCTGTGAGGGAAAGCCTCTTGAAGTTGATCTGGCTCCTCACCATGTCGGGAGCATCAACAAGAGCCTATCAATTTAAAGAGATAGCAAAATTATTAGGATAAATAAGATTCATATTTTCATCATATTTTCCAAAATTAATTTATCTATCAATTAAGCACTGGCTACCATCTGTCCAAATTAAAACTAAACTCAACAAATCAAGAAGCAATTGAGATTTTTCTAATAACTGTTGAGATTAAGCATGAAATAGCATACAAAAATAGAAAGAGGCAGGAAGCCTATGTCTGAATGGTTCCTTAAGAAAATAAGATGTGCCTTTGGGGGTATGAAAAAATTTCATCAGAAAAATAGTTTAGGACAAGTAAACAAAAGCATTTTCACATTTTGGGTACTAAACCGTGCCCCACATAGCAAAATTTCGCTCTTACATTAACACAGAAAGAGATATAATCACTGGACCTATCAATGGAGAGTTCAACAACTGTGTAGAGGCAAGGTTCATCACTTTTCTTGATTTTTTTCATATTTGAAAGTAACGCTTCACTCCCCGGAATATCCACACCTCAATCCAAAAGGAACATAGTCGTATATGCTATAACCCTATGGTAAATGTACAAGATTGTAACAGAAAACAGAGCCAACAACATTACAACAATGACACTCACATTCATTAAATCGACAGAACTTAATGATACAAGGATACACTTGAACTGCTTTGGCAACAAA